TGCCAAGTCAAAAAGCCTTGAATTACACCTTATGTATCTGGAATTTTGTTATGCTAAACTGATGGAGAAGATGTTACCACAAACATGTAATTTTTCACAAAATAATGCTTTTTTTTATTCATTAGATTCAATTTCCATAGTATAAACAGCTACTTCACTGTATCAAGCTGGCTGTTTTTAATCAGCTGGGGCCAAACTGAATTGCTTTGACACATAGCTGTATTTATTTCCACATTTAAGTCTAGTTTGATGTATGATTTCTAGTGCTATCTAGGTGTATTGGATTAGATGTATCTCCAAATCATTTTCTTAAAGTACAGATCCTGTTTCTGTAAATAGTAGTACAGTGAGGTAAAGATTACCCTCCCTCCACTTTCCCAGGGAGTCAAAAATTAGACTGATTATAGGAACAATGATCTCTCTCCTTTTCTATTGCATTTTGTTATCTTCTACAGAAATTGACAAGACCTGATGTACCCAGGATTACCTGAATAGAAATGGATTTAATAGGGGGCTGCAGAAAAGGAACAGATTTTACTGGTTAAAATTGAATCTGTACTGATTTGAAAATAGGTTTAAAAATATCTGTGAGAGTAATGTGAAAAAGATGTCACAATGGTTTAAACAAATGAGACTTCTTATATCTAAATAATTAAAGAGAACATTCAAATAAATTAGAAGAGTGACTTGGAAAGCTTTCTTACAAAAGAGACATGTTAAATTAGTGAAGAAATTCCTGAGAGGAGACAGAAGAAATCAACTTCTGGGACATAATAGAATGGAATATATCTCTCTATTTCTATGTCTCTATCTCTCTGCCCCTCTGTCTGTCTGTCTGTCTGTGTGCATGCATGCATGTTGTAGTTTCTGTAGCTATTAATGGAACTTATTTTTTGGCCCAGTCCGTTTGATGATACTTTAAAGCTTTGTTCATAAATAACAGATAATATAGCTCTAGCTGTTAGAAAGTGTAAATTGGAATAAATACAAAATGGATATATTTGATTAAGGTGTGTGTGTGTGTGTATGTGTGTGTATTAGCATACATGGATTCTGATAGATGTTAAGTGTCCAGTCATGGTTTGCAAATTGGACAGCCATAGATAAATAGCCGCTGCCAACCAATAGTTACTCATGAGAGATGAAGAAAATGAAAATGTTCTTTTTAAAAGGCAAAATATTTAAAAAAAAAAACCTTTGACTTTCAGTATTACCATGTTTTTTGAATGTCAAAGGAAATAAATTACTTTGTTTTTCAGATTGCTGTATGTAAAGCATTCAAAAAATTCAAAAGGAAATGCAGTATTCCAGCCAGATCACAAGATGGCAGTGATCTGCTATTAAAAAAAAACACACTAATGAAATTGAAGCAGAATTACTGCAGGTCTAGCCTGAAGTATGGAAGGCAGAAATTATTCCCAGTTCACTAGCTGAATATTAAGGCAATCATGCTTGACACAGAAAACAGAAATTAAAATGCAATTGCTTACTATATATGTTTCCTAATTTTAGAGAAATCATAGTTTCCGAAGCAAGAAGCTCATTTGCTTCAGTTTTCTGAACACCCCACCTTCTTGGAGGCATGACATTTTAACCAGTAGCTGTGGGAAATGAAGCTATCCTTTATATATGCTAGTCTTGATCCATAACTTCCCTTTAGAGTTCGGGACTCTAATTTTAAATATTGAAATCCTTTTTTTCCCCTTCCAGCAAAGGAAAAAGCTTGGGAACACTAATTTTCTATAAATGACAGAGCATCTCTGTTCAAGGAAATAATACATTTTGCACCTGGCAAGTGCGCTGCAGTTTTGTGAATGTCTAGCACGTAGACTTCATTCACAACATGCCCCTTTCTCCATTCACTCTTTTTAGTAGTTTCTGTTCCTTCTCAGCCTGAGTTGCCCTTTTCTTTTCACAGAGACAAAGAGAGGAGAAAGTGGCCTACCTGTGATTATTCAAGCCTGGTTACATATAAATATTGGGCTGCTGCTTTTCATATTTAGATTTTTGTGCTGGTAAATACCTAAAATAATTGGGCAAAATGCAATATGCTGTATGAACAGAATTACTGCAACACTATAATTATTCGATTTCAGGTTCTGAGAATTGTGTGCAAATTTGCATTTTCTTTTCTGTTTTTGACTCATTTTGACGTATGAGTTGTGTGGCTACATCATGATTGTATTCTGTGGCTGCTCACCCACTAGGAAGAGAACATTTACTCTGGTTGATTTCACTGAAGCCTTTTCAGATTCTAGCCCTAGGGGTAATATGAAACAGAAATCCATTCATGTCAGTTTCCTGATCTGTTCAATGTAGCTGATTTGGCATCAAAAAGAAAGAAACATTTAATTATTCATCAGATTTGTTAAGGCTGCCCAGCTCCAAGAAGATTACGATAATATGGTAAGCAATAGAAGAAGAATCAGCAAAGGTTCTAACTGAGCTGTGTCATCAAATCTGGAAAACAATCCAGTCACCAACAAATTGGATAAGGCCAATTTATATTACAATAAGTGGGGGGGGGGGAGAGGGAGAGAGATATTTAAATGTACACACATGTAATGATTAACTTCATGTAACTGATTTTCTATGAGTGGTTACTTTTGTCCTGTCCAATCAACCTTTCTTTTGTATTTTCCACATAGTCAATGTGCTGTAGTAGTAGCCCTAGAAAAATAAAAGCAGCATAGAAATTCTTTAGAAAAAATAACAAAGACAAGACATAATGTGAGCTCACCAGCATGAGAGTAAAATACTATGTAAAAAAATTCAGTTAAACACAGATTGCATATAATATATGTTGTATTATACACAATTTGTCATGTTTACAATATTTGAAATGTTACCCTTCCAACAGAATATGATATTGAAGGATGAATTAGTGCTTACTTAATTGTTGATTCCCTCTCTCCAGAAGAAATGTTGTATAATTTGTCTGTTTCTTTTACTGTGTCTGTTAAAACACATTACATGTTATTTTAGATCTATATCTCTGATCAGTTTAGAGGGGTTAGAAATACCACCAAATGAATATGTCAATTCTCATGATGATTAATTTCCACAAGGTGGCGCTGTTTCCATACAACATGGAGAAAATATGTTTCCCTCCAAAAATATTATCCTTCAAACATCATTGCAGATGTCAGGATGATTTATTTAATGTATGGTTGTTTCATTTTTATGATATTTCTGTCTGAGAACTCAAGGCATCATAACCCCAAATAATAACTATTTAAAATAAATTGTTTCAGACAGTTTTTATGAGTCCTGTCCACTCTACTGGGGACTTAAACTGGGATCTCCTTGCCTAAAACAAAATATTATAATGGCTCTCAGATGTAAGATTTAAAAAAAAAATGAAGAAAAACATGATGGGGTGGAATAGACTGAACTTAGAACATACCAAGCTATCTACTCTCAGATGGTTGTAGTTGAAAGAAAGTTATACAAACTAAATATTTAGCATGTAAAATTGTATTTATGTATTAACATAAAAGTATGAGAAACTTGCTTTTGAGTAAAAGAATGCCTTGATTTCTTTTTTAATTTATAAAAATATAAACTAGTAGCTTTTTAAATTAGGAATGTGACGGTATAATAAGCCCTCCCCAAATCTGGGGGTTGGTGAGAAGATGCCAGATTGTGGGATATGGATATAAACAAAGTAGCAGGAATCAGAATGTCAAAACAAGAAGATAGGAATTCTAGCAAACAAATCCTGTTTGCTTTTATCATTGCTGACATTTTTTTATTTCACTAGACATAACTTATCTGTCCTCTTAATATATTTTGGCCTCTGTTATTTTTTAATATGTGACTGCATACCAATGTTTTGGTGTTGGCTGGTTCTACAATAACCTCTACAGATCCTTTCCAATGTCTTTGTGACACTTCATTTTGTTAGTTGTTGTTATTCTACACTGCTCTATGGCTGTTCTGGTTTTCGTATATGTTTTTGGGTATTTAGTTAGTTAAAGATATGTATTCCAATCTAAAAACACAACTCTGTTGGGTGGTTCACAACAACAATAAAATCCACATCAATAAAACCCATAAAGTATAAAACCTAAACAAAACCTGGCGCCCCAGTCTTTCCTTTGGAACCCCTCACAATCAGCTCCAGATTTCAGGGAAGGGCATGCCTATCCTATCCAGTGTGATGGGACAGGCAGATATTCTCAAAGTATGCTAGCTTGTAAAAAGGAATACATGGGCATGTATATGTGCTCATATAAAATGTGCATGTATAAAAGGGAGGCACTCGGATTACCTCCCTCTGCCATAGTTTCTTCCCTTTCCTTCCATCAGAACCAATAGCATTTATCAACTTAGATATTTATAAGTTTTGTGTGCTTGTTAGAGACAGAACAAAACCAATGGAACTTACAAATATTAAACTCCTTGAGTCGACCCTTTTGCCTGATGAAAGGCAGCACAGCAGACCCTGTAAAGAAATGGCCCTTTTGCCATTGGACTGTCAAGGAGAACAACAGCTGAAGATGTCTAGCTTCAGGGTGGGAATCTTGATCGGGATATCCTGAGTTTGTTTGGAATTCACAAAATACAAATCAAAATGAGCAAAATGCTGAGGGCAATGGAATCACCTGTTATAGTTTGTCTCACTGTATTCAAAGATGAGACAAGTAAAATTTATTCTAAAAGAAGCTACTAATTTTGGCTTTGGATTTTCTTTACTTATCCATGAATACAGATTTAGGTAGTGTTGGAATTTGTCCACTAGAGAGGGCTAACAGAACGAATAATGTTTGAGTTAGAGGCCTGAAAAATAATATCAAGGAATACTTGAAGATTGGTTTTCTTTTTTTGTAGTGGCGTTCCCCCCCCCCCCCCCCCCCCATGAATGTATATTTTGGACATACGAGTGGACAGATAGATGAGTTCCACCACTGAATCAATGTAAGCAAAGTCATGCATAGAAGGCTTTTAAATTAATGTTAATTTTGTTCACATTTTGTTTTGTATGTACCCATTGATAGGTCTGTGTATGACGACCAGCCAAATGCACACCAGAAGTTTATGGAAAAATTGGATGCATGTATACGTAATCATGACAAAGAGATTGAAAAAATGTGCAATTTTCACCATCAAGGATTTGTGGATGCCATTACAGAACTTCTTAAAGTGAGGGCTGATGCAGAGAAACTAAAGGTAAGGAACTGCAGTTTTAAAAATAATTTTAAAAAAATAATGAAATGATTATTTTGTGCAGTACTAGAGTGCAGGATTTATGGCCACATGTTCTTTTCCAAAGTAAAATAATGATATCTTTAGATGCTTTCTGAATAATGACTCAAAACATTACAAAAGTGACAAAAGAAGTACAGTATGCTGTGAAAATGCTACAATTACTTTTAGTAATTAAATATAAATAAATAGAAGATTATTTGGTAGATCAATTCTAAATGTTGTAGCAAATATTGATTTATTTATATGTTACATTTACATGGACATATTCGTCTCACAAAAAGTGAATCTGGGCAGCGCACAACAAAAATAGAGAAGTGTAAAACAATAAATATATAACAATTATTTAAAAAAATAACAACCACAAGACTAAGAGAAAACAGCAGATGTTAACCACAATCATGGAGCAGTTCCTCAGATGAACTGGCCTATGCTATGGAGGACTGTGGATCAAAACCAGAATCTTGAATTGGATCAAGAAACACACTGGTAACCAGGGCAGCTTGCAAAGCAGAGATATAATGTGTGTATTCCAGAAACACACATAAACTGCCTGTGCTGTTGCATTTTAAACCTGCTGAAGCTTTCAGATATTCTCCAAGGGCAGACCCGTGAAGTGCGCATTACAATAGTCCTATGGAAGGGTGATTAGGGCATGAGCGACCACGAGCAGCACTCTCCAATCTAGGAACGGGCACAACTGGCACACAATATGAAGTTGTGCAAAGGCCCTCCTGATCATGACTGCCACCTGCTGTTTGAGCAGGGGTCATGATTCCAGGAGGACCTTCAGATCATGCACTAGGTCTGACTGGGTCAGTGCAACCACACCCAGCACTAAAAAATGACATAGTCCTGGAATTGGCAGGCCACAAAAGCCAGAGCCCTTGAGACTTGCCAAGATTCAGCTGAAGCTGGTTGTTCCCCATCCAGACCCTCACAGCTAACAGGCACCAGGATAAGATGTTTACAGCATTGTTTAATTCAGCAGCCCCCAAACTTTTGGGCACTAGGGACCGGTTCTGAGGAAAGAGGGTTTTCCGCAGATCGGAGAGGGCATGGTTTAGTATGCTGCCTGCATCCCGAGGATGGGGCATTGCTTGTTTGCACAGCCCGGTCTCTGGCATGCTGGGCCCAGTGCTGGTCCATGGATCAGTGGTTGGGGACCCCTCGATGGAGTGGGCTGAGATATATTTTTGTGATACTTTTTTTCTGAGTGCTCAATTCCAACATGGGAATTTCCTCTCCCCGCAGATGTTTCCCCAAAAAAGTGGCTGAAATTGTTGGGATTTCCTCAGAAGTAAATTGTGGAAATAGTCCCTCTTAGCTCCCTTTGCACATTTGTAAGGAAAAAAAAAAAATAGGTGCCCCAGACAGAATGAGCATAGTTCACCAGAGGTTATGAGTAGAACAGCATTATATAAAGGATATTCATATAACTAGAGACTCAATGAGGTCATTGAGCATCTTTGTTCAGAATTTAATGAGTTTTTTAATAAACTAGAATGTGCTCCCTTATTATGATGACCTAATGAGTCACTTAATATGTGGGAAACTCTGAGGTCGAGCACTGCTTGCACCTGCAGCATTAAAATGTCGCTTGGCTGGCAATATCCACGTTTGATGTTAATCAACCGCCCAGTGTTTGCATTCAGCAAAGTATGAATGTTTAATTACCATAAAATTCAGTCACCATTTCTTGCAGACAATGAGTGACACATAGAGCTCACTGAGGTTATCAAAGAAGGACCAGTGGTCAATTGGGTCAGTGATTTGAATTGTTTGACAGACCCATAGAAACAAAGTTCAAAAATCCCAAGTAAATTTGAGAAGTTTGCCACTGAATCTGTTAGAAAGAACTGTCATAACTAATTGAAGTTAACAAAAAGCCCTGGTGATCAAAAGTTCAAGTTCAAGCTGTAGAGTTAATTTGGATTTACATTTCTTTGTTCTAAGTTTCTCATGAAGCATGATCTGATTACAAGGGTGAGCAGTTGCATCAGGGCATTATATGCATATTTTTCTAATAAAGGTGAAATCATTTTTAAGGTCCAAGTTACTGATACGAACAGAAGACTTCAAGAAGCTGGGAAAGAGGTAAGAAAATGGCTTTTCCGATTAATTCAACAAATGTTTTATGGAATATGACTTAAGTGTACCTGATTTAACTATAATCTATTTGAAAATACTCAAGGTGCTAGCTCAGACAGAGGAAATCATCCAGAGTAGACTTCAACAGAGGAATATTATGACCGTGGTCGAAAAACTTCAGTTGTGCCTTCCAGGTTAGTTACAAATACTTAAACGCCAAATGTAGGAGTACCTAAACATCATTTCAAAGTTAAATGTAGATAAATTTCAATACAACTAATACAAAATTGAACTTATATTTGTGATACACAGTACTTTCTGGAGCAAATATTGCTTAAAGATTTAAAGTGCATATTTAAACGCATTTCAATCAGTTGTCTTTTAAAATAATAATTTGTTCATTCATATTCAGGATATTGATAGAATATTCAGAAACGGAATGTTGTTGATGATATTGATTTGTAAATACAATGTTGTCATGTACTTGAATATTATTTAACGATTCATGGAACTCCCAGTGTTTCAGAGATAAGCTGAAACATGGTTATATACATTTTCCAAATCCCCCTTTCAGACATTTGGTTTTAGTTATATAGAGAAACATTACGTTTTTACCATTATCTGTAAAACACCACGGTTCCTTAATGTGTTCTTCCTGTAACAGATGTTCCTGCCAACAGCAGTGATCTATTTTTGGCTGTAAATCCATTGTAATTTTCACTGTGTTGGGTGGCCAATAAAGAGTTAAAACAAAGTTTAAAAATGCTTTGAGATCAACCTAAACTAACTTTCTAAAATTCCTATTTTTACCGATTTTTCCACTTTAAGTTTTGATCCTTAGGTTGTAAAACTTTCACAATGTCAAAAATGCATTTATATACAAAACTGGTAGTTTGGAAAGCATCTGTATCTGGATTATATATTTTATAGTGAAATTTATAACATTTAACATTTTTTCCTTACAGTATTGGAGATGTACAGCAAGTTAAAAGAGCAGATGAATGTCAGAAGGTGAATTAATCGTTTTTAACTCAACTAAATGTTTTAATGAATTGGTTCATCCACTTGTCTATTGCAATTACTGATGGAGTAGTAAAGCTTACTTTAGTGAGGACATTTAATGAATTTGATCTGGTCATTGTATTCTTTTCTTTGTTCTATGCTTTTCATGACAAATGAACAATTCTCACGAGGAAAAATAAAGTATTTGGAAGAGTTAGTAATTGGCTTTAGAAATTAAATTATTAAGTTATATGCATGAAATTGAAATAATTAAATTTGGTTTATAATTCCAGAGATTGTTTGATTTGATTTTATTATTTAAAAACAAATAGTTAATACATTATCAAAATAGCAAAATAGAGATTTTCCTCGCTGGTTAATATTTGTCTTTGGTTGTCATCTGGTACACCATGTAAATTTCAAAACAAATTCTAAATAAATATGTAAACATTAATAATGAATAATTATAAATAAAAATGAATAGGTATTTCTATTTGTTCTTTGACATAATACATAATATAGTAAAATGTAATATATAATAAACTATATAATATAATATAATTATAACAATTCCTCGTGAGATACGCCCTATAAGTCACATACATTTAATGTCTACATGTATTTATTGTATTAAAATTCAGGCTTTTTAATTATGTTGAATAGTTGCTTGGATATGCTAGGAAAAGAGTATAATATAGCCAAATGCTTTGCTTTCATCCTTCTCTAATTATTTTTTTTTAATCTTGGCTATCTTTCAGTCTCTGTCTCCCTTAGGATTTATATATCACTAATATATATATATTTGGTAATAGTCTTGTTAAGGATTATGTTATACAAATAAAATTAATACATTCTACAGAGAATAAAATATATAAAAAAGAAAGAAACCAATTGAAACTAAAAAAGTGAAGAAAAAAATAAATGAAATTTTCCTCTTGTTCCCCAGCAAGTGTAATTAGTATAACACCATCTCTTTTTAAAAAAAAGCTTAAGACCATGTCTTTAAAAAAAAATCATTCCATGTCTAAATCCATTCCCTATAATAGTTTAAGGCTTTATCACTACATCTTAATAATATTCAAATTACATTAATAATATAGTGTTTAGACGTATATACAGCATTCTCTGGGTGGTTTATATTATCAGCATATTGTTCCCAACAATCCTCATTTTACTGACCTCGGAAGGATGGGAGACTGAGTCAGCATTTGAGCCCACCAGAATCGAATTTGTAACGGGCTTAGGAGAGTTAGCCTGCAATACTGCATTCTAACTACTGTGCCACCAGGGCTCCTAATAAATCCACTTTAAATCCATCCTTTTACATTTATATCTCATTTTCTATTTAAACACCCCCACCTCATTTTCAAATGAATTTTTAAAGCATTGTCATCCAATCTTAATCAAAAATCCATTAAACCTCACCAGATATAACTTTCCATCTTTATAAACAAAATCCTTAAAACACTGTCATATAGTCCCAAACTGTTAAAATCCATTAGACATTACCTGGAATAGCAATCCATTTATATTAACCTTGATCAAATAAACTGATTTTGTATTCTTTTTTCTTTCTCCCAGCAATCTTTAGTTCCCTCAAACAAAATCTAAACACCTACTTTTTATATTCCCTTTATCTCTTCTCTCAGAAGTTTTAGCATACTGAAGTCTAAATTCTGAAGTTACTTTTGTAATTTCAGTAAAGAAATATTATCCATATCGTGGTTCATATTCTCACTGTAACTTCTAATGAAATATTTGACAATTCCAACATCGGTTTTGTTAAATTCATTGTAGAGAAGTTATCCATATCACTTTTCTGATATTTGTATGTCTTTTGTAATGATCAAATCATCATCCAGTATTATTTATTATAAATCAATTATTTCACTCTGTTTTTATAAGCTATCATTTTGAAATCCACATTCGGATCAATTTCAATTTTATTCAATGGAGCATGCTTCTCATCAATAAAATCTTCCAATTCTATAATAGCAGATATTGTTATAATTAAGTATTTTACCCATTCAACAACAGCAACAACAAAACACCATTTAACTTAACCATTGATATATTTATTTCCTTCTAGTGCGCCTCTAGTGTCCAACCTTAAAACTTGTCTTATCAGTTATTTAGATACAAACAAAAATATTTTCCCACAAGAAAAAGTCCTTTTAATTAACTACAAAGTCTTTAATTCAAATTCTTCTGAACCCTTAATCCAAGGGTCTTCAAACTTGGCAAGTTTAAGACTTGTGGACTTCAACTCCCAGAATTCCTGAGCTAACAATGACTGGAGGAGGAATTCTGGGAGTTGAAATCCACAAGTCTTAAAGCTGTCAAATTTGAAGACCCCTGCCTTAATCCATTTAATTTTTCTAAAATCAGCACTGTATTTATCCTTTTGCCACATAGTCTGAAAAAAAAATTATTGTAAAATTTTAAATTCATAACTTTCTTTTTTAAATGATTGAAAGAGAATTCACCCCCCCCCACCAAACACAATCAGACTTGAGATTCCAAATGTTTTTAATCTTTAACAAACAGTAATTTAAAAAAAAAAAAAAAAGCTCCAAAGTGTATCCAATGCCATTTCTTCCTCCTTTTCTTCTCCACTCTTATATGAGACTAGATTATTCAGGATCTGGAATTTAGGCTGTTATCATTTTTTTTTGTTTAAAAATTATGTTTGTTATGTTTTTTCCCCCCTTTCTGTCTTAAAAAAAGATGGTTTCTTGTTTTTTCCCCCCAGATATTATTCTGCTCTAAAAACAATGGAACAGCTAGAAAACATATACTTCCCTAGAGTTAGTCAGTATCGGTTTTGCCAAATCATGATGAGGAACCTTCCAAAACTTCGCGAGGAAATTAAAGGGATTTCCATGTCAGACCTGAAGGACTTCCTGGAGAGCATCCGGAAGCATTCAGATAAAATTGGTGAAATGGCAATGAAGCAGGTAAACTTCCCGAAATGCTCATTTTCTTAATATTATCCAGTAAAGCCCGACTGCAACAATCACATTTAGCTTTTGTTCCTATTCTCAGGGGAACTTTCTCCCATCAAAGAAGAGTATCCAAGTGCCTCTTTATTACCACTATGAACACATATTTATGCAAACACCATGTGGCAGCCTTCTCTGCAGCAACATAGCCTTTTCCTACCCATTTTGAACTGTAAAATACGATTTTGCATCTAAATGGTAAAACTGGATGAATGAGATTCATCTTTGTAGCATGCCAAAACAAAACAAGTGGGATCGTTCTGGAAAGCCTTCATGCGTAATTCTAGATATCCCACTTCAGTTGGGTTCAGATGGAAATGGTTGAAAGAAGGTTCAGCATCCTTCTTCCACATTTGTTTCCACCATATGTTCAGCTGCACAGCAAGTTTGTCACACTGCATCCAGTCTTTTGAAAGCTGCTGAGGTCTGCTGGATCCAGCTAAAGCATTAGGAGATGACCTCTTCGGCAACTCTACCCTAGTCATGACTTGCATTTGTTTCTTGGGACTGTTTCTTGAGACCTCGTGGATTATTTTCTTGACTGTATGGGCTTTGTTTAATGCAGGCACAGCAGCAAAAATCTTTTAATACTGCTCTTCAGAAGCAGAGCAGTCTGTGCTGTGGAAAGAACGTACACATAAGCAGCAATGGGATTGCAGAAGCAAGGAACAAAATAGTGTCAAAGCAGACTCTAGAAGACGAAGAAGAACACGAAGAGGAGGTATTTCAGTGGACTATATTGTATTTTGATGCTTAGGTGTCTGTCTGGTGTAGACCAAGGTTCAGCTGAGAAATATGCAGAAATTTGAAGTTCATACCGAAAAATTCTGATACAAGATGGAACTTTAAAAGAACTGCTCATGGCACAAAGTGCTATAATGTTTGATAAATATTGTTCATATGAATTTGATTCAGCTGAATTTTTGTGCTACTCTTTCTTTGTTATCAGGAAAGAAGAAAATGTAGGAGGTGATCTCCATTTTGTTCTTCCTAGATAACAGCTTCACTATCACTGCCTAAACCATCAATTATCAAATAGTTATTGCAGTAGTAGCTGCCCTAGATTGAGATAACTTCAGAAAGCATCTTGAACTTATTTGAGATGGCAGAAAAGTACAAAATCGCAGAAAATGCACAATAAAGAAAACAATGTTTTTCCTTTATTAGCATGACAGATGTTTCTATTACAAATGGATTTTACTGTATTCGTAAAGGAAATCATCACCTAGTACATGTGATCAATTTTTGTTGAATTTATACAGCCCAAAATAAGGTGAGAGGATGCATAATTTATGTTCTGTTTAATACACTGGTGTTATTTATTACTACCATTGCCCCTTTTTTTTCTTTATCTAATTAGCTCTTGCCAATAAAGGAGAATATTTGTAGCTCAGGGTTGACATGAGGGACAGTCCTTGGTGCTTTCTGAGCTTTGCTTGTTTTCTTGTGGATGTTTCACTAGCCAAATTAGGTAACATCAGTGCATTGATGATGTTACCTAGTTAGGGTAGTGAAATGTCTGCAAGAAAATAAGCAAGCTCAAGAGAGCATTAGGTTAAGCTTTCACCCTCCGGTTGTGTTAGATTAAGGCACCTTTGGGGAGGACTTTTATAATGTGTATTTTATGATTGATGGAACATAGTAATAATCCTTTTGAATAAGTACATCCCCTCTTTAGTTACCATAACAACCATGTAAGTAATCATAACAAATTTTTGCTCGTAAAGAACAATATTGGCTTTCCTTGAGCCTACTTTTAATTTAGACTAAAAGTTTGCTTTGTAATATTATAGCTGACTGGATGTTATAATCTTGCCTTTTTTTTGGTGGGGGGATGTATTTCTTCAGGTTTTGACTGCTCACGATCTGGTAGATTTTTCTCCTGTATATAGATGCCTACATATTTATTCAGTTCTGGTACGTATATGCTATATATGAAACGTGTGTGTGTGTATGTGTGTATAGTGTAATAATAAACATGTGCATGCTATTGATTGCCTGCTGCTAATGCTTGTCTGTTTAGTTGCAGCATTGTTTTTTCATTCATAAAAAGAGTCCTTCTGTAAGGACAAGAGCCTTTGAGCCACTAGAGGCTTTGTTTTACCAGCAGAAAAAGACATTTTCCCCTAGTTTCCCCCCTCTTCTTAATTCCCATTGTCTCCTAATGTACTATTGCCTAATTTTCCAAAACAACTTGATAAAGACGGAGGAGGCTGAATAAAAAGAAGAAATTAATGGCCAAGGTCACAACTCTACAAAATTTGCTAAGGCTAAGTAATGTTTAGAATAGTCTCACTGAAAACAATGAGAGTCGTGTTACAGTAGCTTAGCTTAAGTCATATTGATGATCAGGTGCATATTATATATGAGATTTGGCCTCTGGCAGGAGAGGATATTCGATTCGTTGGTCCTATCCTGGTTTTGATCTAGGTTTGTAATCTTTCCTTTTAGACATCCTCTCTATTACACTTAACAGTGGGGAAAGTCTATGTTTTGGAATAACATTCATATACAGTGTTTTCAATTTTTATGAGGATCAACTTGCTGTTAAACAAGCAGAGTCTTACTATCCAGGGGTGGGATTTTACCAGTTCACACCTGTTCTCTAGAACCGGTTGTTAACATTCTAAGCAGTTCGGAGAACCAGTTGTTAGAAGAAATTACTAGCCTAATCCTGTAAGGAAGACAGGAAGGAAACATTCTGGTGTTGCTTACAGAAACTGCCTCTCCATTAACCCTTATTACATTCTTGGCAGGACTAGACTTCCTGTCTCAGGAACTTCTCTGGAGTTTTTTCCCCCTCCTTTGTTGGTACTTTGCTTGTGTGGAGTGACCATTCAAAGTTACAGTGACACTGAAAAAAGTGACTTATGTCCATTTTTCACACTTACGACTGTTGCAGCATCCTCACAGTCATGAGAGGCCAGGGGAGGAGATGCGTGCCTCGATGTGAGTGATATTGAGTTGGCCACGCCCAGCCAATAATATGACCACCAAGCCATGTCCACCCAGTCACAGGACCACCAAGCCATGCCCACCACCTAAGCCACGCCCACAGAACCGGTTGTTAAAAATTTGAATCCCACCCCTGCTACTATCCCACTATAGTACTCTTCTGCAATTGATTGGATAGGAGCACAAGGCTTGCTGGGACCTAACCTGAAGAATCCCAGAGGAATATGCAGGTCACCTCTTACTGTGGAAAAAAAAGATTGTGGGGAAAGCAAGAAATGTGCCCCTGAGGGACTCTTCATTGCTAACTCAGCAGCAAAGCATCTTTGAGATGATGCAGGGTGATTACTTCCTTTATTCCAATCCTTGTTTACTTGTGAGAAGGTCTGCCATAGAGGCAGACAGAATAGAATAGAACAGAATAATAGAGTTGGAAGGGACCTTCGAAGTCTTCTAGACCAACCTCCTACACCATTTCAGACAAATGGTTATCCAATCTCTTCTTTAAAACTTCCAGTGTTGGAGCATTCGCAACTTCTGGTGGCAAGTTGTTCCACTGATTAATTGTTCTGTCAGGAAATTTCTCTTTAGTTCTGAGTTGCTTCTCTCCTTGATTAGTTTCCACCCATTGCTTCTTGTCCTGTCCTCAAGCAACAAAGAGAATTTGTGTAGATAAGAAAGGGTCTTAGGGAGTCACCAGGATGATCCAGAAATTTGCTTTCACTACTTAATGGCCAAATATGTTTATTGGATGATAGGAACTGAAAATCTAAACATATGGAAGCATCCATGTTGGGGGAAATTAAACTGTTTTTGATCATTTGGAAGAGAGAGGCTGCTTTATCTTCTTTTGCCTAGACAACCGTTTGTCTGAAAAGGTTGGACGAGAAGACCCAATTCTATTATTCTGCATACCTATTAACTGTTTTGGAACTAAGGACAATACAATAACATAAAGTTCAGTGATTTAAAAACATTTGATTCTGGTTACAATGGCATGCTTTTCCTTAGGGCAGGACAACATCCAGATACATTTGGAGCACATCCAAAGACCTTTCCTTGTCGATATAACATTCTGCCTCATAGTGGAAGCAATCCTCTGCTACTATATTTCCGAAACTACCAAGCAATGCTTAATAGTTTTAGAATTGAGCCAACATTTGAAGTTAATGTCATTTCATGGCTTCTTCGTTTTCATGACTTGTTCTGAAGCTATTTGCTATAATTTTTCCCATTTTGGAAGGAACAGGAAGCTATAGTTAATTATAGATTCATGTTTTATTACTATAGCGTTTCCCAGCTGAATGTGTCCATGGTTTATAGGTTCATTCGTATCTCAGTCTATTAAGTCAGTATGTGATAGTATGAACTCCTGCATGAATTAGCTCATCAATCTTTGGTTGCTCTTAGAAAAACAGTGGTTTTTTTAGTTCTATCAGGTATAACGTTCCTATATGCTCCTCAAATATCCTGTTTCTGGATATTTTTCATATTCAGAAATATGGGGGGGGGGGAGTTTGTCATGAAGATATTTGGGAGAAGAGATGTCTAAAATTGTGTATATTTTTTTGTTTAGGGTGATGCAGAAACATTTGAAAACTACTATAGAAAGCAGAGGCGGAAACAAGCCAGACTAGTTTTACAGCCACAGTCCAACATGGTACTTGAACTTTAAAAAAAAAAGATTTATACAATCTCTCAAATTGGTTTCTGTTAAATGATTGTGTTCTTTTTTTATAGCATGAAACAGTAGAAGATTACAGAAGATACTTCAGTCAAATTGTAGGGTGAGGATGGCTGCTATATGTACTTATTGTAGTTTTTTTCAGCTTGTTTGCATGTGCTCTTTTGTCTTATTTTTGCTATATTAACACCAGCAATGGATATTTTAAGATACCAAGGGGTGGGAACAGTTGTGCCCCCTTGCTCCTCCCATCATTGTATAACAAATTAAGCTTTCTTGAAAGTAAATCTGGTGTGTATTAAAGAATTGGATCTATCAGATATTAAAATCTTAAAGCTCTATTTGGATCTTTTGGTGGTAACTGGATTGAAGAAGATATTTATTACTAATTTAATTTACCTATTAAGAGATGGTTTATGGGATGTTTGTTAGCTAAAAGGAGGTGAAAAGACCATGGAATTGTTCGTCCTTGTTATGATGATGGTGGCAAGTCAATTTCTTGTAGGAGGAGGGGTTTTTAAATAATTTTTTTCTTTTTTCTGGAATTTTTTTCTCTTTCTTTTTTAGTTGCATTACCTTTTATTATTCTATTTAAAACTTTTTAATATTTTTTTTAAAATGTAATGAATTGGATATTGGGTATAAAGACTGTTGATGCTCTAGTGCAGGGGTAGTCAACCTTTTTATACCTACCGCCCACTTTTGTATCTCTGTTAGCAGTAAAATTTTCTCCAACCACCCACTGGTTCCAGTGGGCAGTAGGGACCAGGTTGACTACCACTGCTCTAGTGAGATATTCTTTCAATGCTTGCTGACTAGTATCACTTTTTCACTACAGAATCCCAGAATTTACAGGCTGAAGTTGCATAGTATATAAGTTAAAACCATGAGCCCTATGCACAGCAACTATGATATCTATGACAAGACCTAAACTTAAGCAGAAACACTGCTCTCTTCTTAGATAGGAATCGACTGAATCTCTCATTTATGCAACATCCATTGTTTGCCAAGATGTCTTCAGTGCACCACAGCCCAGCCCATATTCAGTTGGTTTTTTGTTGTTGACTTATGATAAAGTTCACAATCTAGGGGCAATCACTCCTGCCTTGATTTCTCAAAATCCTGTTAGGTTGAATGCATGAACAAAAAATATGCTCTCCCACTGATGTGTGGCTTGAGGGTAAAGGTTTATTTATTATTCATTTATTACTGTATCTCAGATATACTTTGTCCTATTTAATTGGCGAAGCATGAGTTTCTTCAAACATTCCCTCTACTTAAGCACCAAAGGTGCAAATGGCACCGACGCTACAAAAGTGTTGGGGGAGGGGCTGAGGAGGAAAGAAGGGGAGGAAAAGAGAGAGCATTGGGCTTTATTGCTCTTTATCAACGATATCTCAGGAAAATCACATTAATTCCACGATTTGTTACTTCGTTCAGTTTTTTTGTCGTGGAGGATCACATTTTACACGCAACCCAAGGATTAATAACGAGAGCTTACACAGATGAACTTTGGAACATGGCACTTTCCAAGATTATTGCTGTCCTTAGAACTCATTCGGTAAGTGAGCCAGGTTTTTTTCTCCCTTTAAATTTATTTACTTAAGACCCCCGTAGAGTAGGTTTAGAAGAAGGAGAATGTAGGGAAGGCTGGTGGTGGTGGTGCAGAATGGAGGTCTAACATGTGGGGAGGGGGGGGAGTGTTGGTAATTAAAAATTGCTCAGATTTAGGGGAGAGCCCATCAAGCCTTTGTTTGTCCTTGCAGTATCAGGCCTTTGAGTCACAGCCCTGGGCTATCTGCATAATCCCCCACTGAGTTACAACTCCCCAGGTCTTCCAAACTATTCTTAGTCGGAACAGTTTAGAATATGCAGAGTTAATCTGCTCTTATTATTGCAATCTGTCCTAATTAGTTTCAACTGACCTCTTCATTAGATCAGAGTGAATTAGTTTATCATTGAAATGAGCAGGAAGAAATAGTTTCTAATTATAATTCCAAACCCTTTTCCAAAGTAAACTTCATTGGCAAAAACTCTTAGCCTCAGGACAGCTCTAAGTTGTAACACAGTTGTACACTAGCTACTAGACCCTATTAGCTAAAAATAGGGTCGGGGAATTATAAACAAGTGCCATTTAGTCTTATAAAGTTATATTTTTCTAATTTTGTTTTGCAAATTTTTGCCTATAAAAGAATAAAACAACAAAAATTGCTAATAGCTGATGGACTTTTATCATGACAGTTTATCTATAAATAGAAGCAAATGGTGATCTAACATAAACCCTGGCTATTTCTTTTGTTCATTTACCACATTTATGTAACCACCCATCTAACACAAATGTGACTGTGGGCAGTACAGAATTGTAACAGCCATTAAAAACTACATACAAGGAGTCAGCCATAAATAAAATAAACATATAAACCCCAAGAATGTGGGAGAACAAAAATCACTTGACCTCATACATCCACCTTGCAGGCTCTCCATGGATCCCCCAAGTCTGATGGAAAAAGCATATATTAAGTGCCTGAAAAAAACATATCTTAAGTTTATGTATGTATAGAGAAAACATGTAGATAGAAAACCCCACACATGTTCATGTGATATTTTTCAAGTCAATTTCTACCATCAGTAACACTTTTTAATGGTCTCAGCAGATGACAGAATCAAGGCTAACCTTATCTGAATTTTACTTAGAAACTAAGGGGGGTTAGATCTGGTTAATTCTTGGAAGAGAGATCACCAGGGGATTGATCCCACATACCCAAGTTAGAGTGGGAAGATGAAAAAAGTACTCTGTAAGAAGAGAATGGCAAACCACATCTGCAAATTGCCAAGCAAACTGAATGGATGTGTCGGTGCCGTCACCTCTAATCAAGCTCAACAATTATCTTAAATATTTTTATAGCTTCTACTTAAAGAAGAAATTGGAGGAGCCAACATTTACATCTGAAATTTAGTGATGGGGAGGAAAAGAAGAGGTTTGGGGGTGGCTTTAGAAGAGTGTATATATACACTGAATTTTCTTGGTTTTTTTCCTTGAAAACATTTCACTTCTCACCCAAGAAACTTCTTCAGTTCTGGAACTGAAAAACAGAACTCAAGAAGTTTCTTGGACAAGAAGGGAAACGTTTTCAAGGAAAAAAAACCAAGAAAGTATTTCTGAGGAAGATAAGCACGAGAAAGTCCTATTGCCAATATGGTTTGCTTGTAAGCTTCCATACACTCTTGTTGGAAATACAGCCTTATAAGCTTTACAGCTGTTGAAAATGAGCAACACATCAGTAGACAAACACCAATTTGCTTAATTTCTTAAAGGTAATCTGATATTTTAACTTTCAGTCGTATTGCACTGACCCTGATCTCGTTCTGGAGCTGAAGAATCTGATAGTTGTCTTTGCGGATACTTTGCAGGTTGGTAGCATGCTGGCATTTCAGACATAGAATGTCTATTTACTATCCTTTTTTTAATTTATTGAATTAGATTCAAGAAATACCTGCCTTAAAATTAAGCATACACTAATAACATTCTCAAACACAGAAAAGACAAAGGACAAGAGCATGGCAAACAAGATATCTGTGTTTCCAGTAATATTTGACTTGTCTATTATATGCTGGTATCTTCTAGATTTGTTAGTACAACAGTGCTGGGATTCCCATTCAGCAAAATCAAAGCTCCAGGAAAATAGTAAGAGTTGCAGTCCTGGTCATTCTGAATATTTATTTATTATATATTCTGCTCTTCAGTCAGGGGCTCAATATGTGGTACAAATAATAGTCCATTTTCCCCATCCCTCAGGTCTAGCGTTTGTTTGTCTACAATTGGCCTTGTAGATCAACTTTATAAGCAAGAAATAAATACCCTGTGCTCAAATATGATGAAGTTAGGATGGCTGCCTATAAGCCCATACTCGATATTAGACTTGTGTAACGTTTTGGCTTGCCTGAGCCCCACAAAATGAAGAGGCATTGTCTTGGGCTGCATATAAAATATATAATATAGTTACTGTATATAAACGCACATCAAAATGTTAAAAAATTACACTCTTGTGTGGCTGCATTACTAGCTGTGTTTTGAACACACCTTCTGTACATCATTTGATAGGAAGAGAATGAGTGTTATTTATGCCAGAATGGCAAAGGAGATCAATGGAAGAAATATATAATAGCTTATTAATTGAAGGAGAAGGTTGAATTTTCATATGAAACCCCTTCTCCTCCTCCTCCCTCCTCTGTTTCTCTTCATATATTCAGATAATCATGGTAGAGGACTTGGCCCCTATGTTGTACAAAGAGCATGGTGAAGGAAAGTGGTGTCCATTCCTTCCTTCCTTAAAAGAACTCCAACATTACCATATGAAGCAGGGCAGAGATAAATGAGAAGCTGTGGAAAACAAAAGAGATTAGAGCAAGCTTGCTTTAGGAATGAGGAGGAAAGAAAGTCCCCAGTGGACTATTGAATGGGAAAGAGATTGTGGTATGCTGACCTTTACTTGCAAAAACAAGGAACGGATACAGGCCTCAAACTTCTCAGTTTTGTAGTATCATATGCTCGCTTCTGTTTGCACCTTTGAAATATTTTTTTATTTTACTTTTGTTTTGTTAGGGTTATGGTTTCCCCGTCAACAGACTATTTGATCTTTTATTTGAAATAAGAGACCAGTATAATGAGACTCTTCTTAAAAAATGGGCTGTATTGTTCAGGTGAGTTTTGCAAGATAAGAAGAAAGCTTTTCTAAATAACTGTCAATTTTGGTTTTATTTTTAATGGTTAAATATCTGAAGATTTCATTATCCAATCTTTGTAAAGATATTTGTTTTCTGAAATGGCAGCAATTTAGAAAGTTTCAGAAATATCAATATTTCTGATAGACTGTATATATATATATATATATATCAACATTAATTTGAGGTTTTATTTGATAATTCCATGTGCTTATTTTGTCTGTCTGTCTGTCTGTCTATCTGTCTCTCTTTCTCTGTCTCTGTCTCTGTCTCTCTCTCTCTCTCTCACACACACACTTATTGCTTCGATTTCTATACCATGATCGCTAGTCCTGTATTGTGGGGATTTCAACTTGTTGTAGTATAATAAGTTTACATTTCCATATGAAGCCACTTCTTTATTGTAGCTTCACAAATATTTGTTAATTAGTGTATTATGATTTCTTGTCTACTCAGATTAACAATTAATTGCAGCTGTGATACTTCTTTGCCTCCTTTTCTAACTATACTTTACAGTACTTTAACTCACCAACATTCTTGACATCAGAATTTATGAATGCATAGTTTTCCCTTTGGAAGAAATGTGATGCAATAAAGCTTAACCCTGGCTGGATTGTGCCCGTCTGTGTCGTCGTATTTTGTACTTGAACTATACGTTCCTAACTAGTTCCTTAAATCCTGCAGGGATATTTTTGAAGCAGATAATTACAGTCCAATTCCTGTATCAAACGAGGAAGAGTACAAACTTGTGATTAGTAAATTTCCTTTTCAAGATCCAGAACTTGACAAGGTAAGAGAACTTTGTGGCATATTAGTTTTTGTCTGGCTCATTCCAATAATGAAGGAGCCTCTGGTATGCCAACATTCTCTTCTATTGGAACCATATATGATCATTTGACCATATAGGGTCAAATACTTCAGAAAGCAGGGAAAGCATTAATCATGTTACCTAGCTGGTTAATGAAACATCTGCAAGCAAACAACCAAGCTTAGAGCATATATAGGACTCCATGTATTTGTTTTCTTAAGTTTTCGCGGGTACTTACATGTATAGCATTCAGCTTTGTTCGGGTATTTTCCCACGTCATTGTAGTTGTGCTTTTAAAGTTGTAGCAACGTTTCGGCAGAATCTCATCTGCCATCATCAGGCTTCTGTATTGTGTTCGTCTGTGAGTCAGACTTTTACAGTTGTTTCAGTTTTAAATTTGGGGCTAGCCTACTGCTGTGCCAGAATGGTTTTTTCTTCATCCTGATTGGTTGGGAGTCTTGGTCTGTGTTTATTGGTCTTGGAGTTTGCTGTGTTCTGCTTGATTGGTGTTTCTAATATCTTCTGTCTGTTTTGTGGCTTTTTTGTGTGTCTTGATTGGCTGGCAACATTGTGTTCCTGTATTGGAGGCTTTTAGTGCAGCTTGGCTCCGAGGAAATGGACGGCTATCATTTGTTAGGAAGCTAGGTTTCATCTGGGTGCCTGGTTGGGGTGTGTTTGAGCTGGAGGTATCAGGGGGGATCTGTTTGTGCCCAGGTGTTTGCCTGGCTAGTGGTGTGGAGATTTTTTTGTTTGTGAGTGCAGGCTTCCAAATGATTGACAGTCTGGTGGAATCATCTCTTCTATTCATGCTTTCTGGTCTTTTTTCAATCTCTATGGCTTCTCTGATGACTCTGTGGCTAGGGTTTTCCATAGTGGCCAGGGTTTTGGTGCCATTGAAGTTGATGCTATGACCTGTAGCTTCCATGTGTTGGACTAGTGAGGAAGTGTGTTCCAGCTTTTTGACTGCATTTTTGTGTTCATCCAGGCGGGTACTTATTCTTCTATTGGTCTGTCCAA